TCCCGAACAGCCTATGAACGTTGCGATGACCAGGCGCAAGAAGAACTTCCCCTCCTTCGTTCGCCTTGGCCGCCCCCGAAGCCGAGCTGCCCCGACCTGTGCTGCGAGCTGCATTGCCCAGGTACTTCCACCGCAAAGACCGAGACTTCCTCGCCCACTGCGCTCTGGAGTGGCATCCCGCGTGAGTCTCGACCACCCCCACGAGGTCGCACTGGTCTAGAAACTGCTGACACCCGACGTGGCCCCAGGACTTGGGCCCCAAGCAGGTGATGTTGCTGAAGAACATGGTGACGACGCTGTCGGCCGAAGCGGCCGCTGCATCAGGTACTGCTTCATGAGGTGGCGCGCCTGCAGCAGCATCGCGAGCTCCTGCTGGCGCTGGCGGCGCGCTCCCTGGCGAGGCCGAGGGTGCTGCGAGGCCCTCGGCGGGGGCGCGCGCTCAGTCCTGCTGGCCAGAGGCGCTAGCGGCGCCCCCTGCCGCAGGCGGCTGCCTCCGCTGCCGCCCTCGCCTGCTTGATGCGCTCCATCTCGGCGGTGACGGCCTCCTCGGACGGGCTCGCTGCGGCGCTCGCCGCTGCCGATGGCGCCGCGGCTGGGGGGGCCCCTGCCGCGGCCGCGGCCGCAGGGCCGCTGCCGTCGGCTGCAGGCGCAGCCGCCGCGCCACCGCCGTCCTTGGTGGCCTCCGTCTTGCGCTTCTTCTGCGTGCGCTCGTGAATGGTGCGCTTCATCTCGCTGATCTCTGCCTTCCAACATGCAAAGTCGGCCGACTTACTGGCCAGGTCCTCCTTCGTGGCGACCAGGTTGGCCTCGAACTTCCTCAGGGCGCCCTTCTCGGACTGATCGCACTTCGCGCTGTCCAGGCTGGAGAAGAACTCCGTGCCCCAGGTCAGGTCCGCGAGCTCCGTCTTGGACGTGGTGGCGCCGCCGCCGCTGTCGCCCGAGCCCGCGTTGATGCCGAGCTCCTTCGCCAGCGCGGTGGCCGCCGACTTCTTACTCAACTCTGCCGTCGCGAGCATCCTGAGAGCCTCCGCCTCCTTGGCGAGAGCGCGCTCCGGGTTCTCGCGGATCTTCATCACTTGTGTCGCCGCCTGCTCGTGGCGAAGGGAGGCGTCCTTCCGGGCGCCCTCCGCCCTCCGCGCCGCCTCGGCAGGGCGCTCGGCCAGCGGTGCTGCCGACGGCTTGGCCGTCTGCTCCGCCAGCCGCGCCTGCTCCTGCAGGCCTTTCTTCACCTCGGGGTCCGCCGCCAGCTCGATGGCCTGCGCGAGCAGGCTCGCGACCGTGGGCCGAGCCTGCAGCGCGCCCTCCAACTTGGGCGCCTCTTCGATCAGCTGGTCCTGGGACTTTCGGGGCTTGTGCAGCTTCACCTGGGAACCGCACTTGCGACACTGCATCTGCGGCTTGCGTAGCACGTCGTTGTGCTCACATGTGTGGCAACGCTTGCACGTCGACCACTCCCGTGCCATCGCTGTCTGGCGAACGTCTCTTCGCCAGCGGGACTGACCACAAACGTGTGCGTGGGAAGCCCGCTGCCCCCCAAGCACTGCGCGGAAGTGAGAGGCCTCGGCTCTTGGCAAAATGCATTCGAGCCAATCTGTGCTTGAGCCAACATGGCTACGGAGGGAGGAGGGAGGGAGGAGGGAGGAGGAGGGAGGAGGGAGGAGGTAGGAGGAAGGAGGGAGGAGGCTGAGGCGTGGCGGGGGCGGAGGGGGCAGATGCAGAGGCCGAGGAGGTGGGCGAGGGGGGGTGGAGGCGGTGGAGCTGCAACCGGTGGAAGTGCATTTCGTGACGCGACGTAGCACCCCGCAGATGTGGACCAGAGTGAAATGGCGGTGGGGACTTAGGCAGACTGCGAGGCTCGGAATGAGCCCGCCGAAGGTACCTATTTCTTTACAAATCAGACCACGAGCCCGCCGCAGGTGCCGATTTTTCCGTAAAAGCAATGTGGGGTGTGTCCGCGGGTGGGTCGCGGAATGGGTCGTTGGGCCGGGCCGGATCGCGGTCTGGGTCGCGTGTGGGTCGCGGGTCGCGGGTGGGTCCGTGGCGTGTCCGCTGGCCGGGTCGCGGGCCGGGTCGCGTGTGGGGTCGCGTGTTGGCCCGCGGGGTTGGTCGCGGTGGTCGTGGTGTGTCGCGGGTGTGTCGCGGGTGGGTTTGCGGGCCGGTCGCGGGTGTGTCGCGGGTGGGTCGCGGGTGGATCGCGGGCCGTATTGCGGGTGGGACGACGACCAGCAAACAACGAACAACGAAATCAAAATCAACAAAACAAATCGCCAACAAAAGCGTAACACAACAGCAACAAACACATGAACAACAACACAACAACGATTATTTATTATTACTACAACAACAAACTATTATTTTTTCTAATAAGCTACTACGGTATTATTGCTATTTCTACTAACTACTATAATCACCAACGACTACGACCACGACTACGACTACTACTACGACGACGACTACTACTACTACTGTTACTACTACGACTACTACTAACTACTACTACTACTACTACTACTACTACTACTACTACTACTACTACTACTACTACTACTACTACTACTACTAACTACTACTAACTACTACTACTACTACTACTACTACTACTACTACTACTACTACTACTACTACTACCACTCACTCACTACTACTACTACTACTACTATTATTACTACTACTACTACTACTACTACGACTACTACTACTACAACCACTACTACTATTACTACTACTACGACTACTACCACTACTACTACTACTACTACTACTACTACTACTACTACTACTACTACTACTACTACTACTACTACTACTACTACTACTACTACTACTACTACCACTATTACTACTACTACCACTACTACCACTAAAACTACTACTACTACTACTACTACTGCTGCTGCTGCTACTACTACCACTACTATTACTACTACTACTACTACTACTACTACTACTACTACTACTACTACTACTACTACTACTACTGTTACTATTGTTACTACTGTTACTACTACTACTACTACTACTACTACTACTACTACTACTGCTACTACTACTACTACTTCTACTACTACTACGACTACTACTACTACTACTACGACTACTACGACTACTACGACTACTACTACTACTACTACTACTACTACTACTACGATTACAACCACATCAATAACAGCAACGACGGCAACAATAACAACAGCAATTACGTAGACAAGAACAGCAACAACAAGAGTAAACACAACGATCCGCATCGGGAAATCTATTGTCAGGCACGCGCCGATGGACAGTGAACTACCGTTCGGCCCCCTCACTCTGATTATTGCTTTAATCACTTCGCCGTGTGTGTGTTACACATACAGCCAGACGTGGACAGAAAGAGAGGGAGGTGAAGAAAGAGAGAGAGAGAGAGATACAGAGACTGAGACCAAGAGAGAGGGGTGGATAGAGAAATAGAATGAGAGAGGGAGAGAGAGAGAGAGAGAGAGAGACAGAGCCAGAGTGAGAGATAGAGGATAGAGAGAGAAGCACAAATCATAGTGAGCGAGAGAGAGAGAGAGAGAGACAGAGAGACAGAGAGACAGAGGGAGACAGAGAACGACACAGAGAAAATGGGAGAGAGACAGAGAGACAGAGAAGGACAGCCATCCAGAAAGACAGAGATGGGGCCGTCCTCTGTGCCTGTCGTCTTTGTCGTGTCCTTTGTTTTCCTCCCTCGTGTCTGCACCCCGCTTTGCTTAGCTGCGCCTCCAGGGTTCCCTCTTTTCGTCGTCGTCGTGCCCCTCCTCTCCCTCCTCCCCGCCCTTGGTGGCCTATTGGTGCCTCTTGGGTGCCTCTCGCGTGCCCCGTCTTGCTTGTCTGGTTTTTCCAATTCGCTGAATGCGACGCGTGGGCGTCCATCTCGCTTTGTCGCCTCCGTCGTCGTCTCGTCTTCCCTTCTCTCTGTCTTGTGTTGCTGCAGTCGCTGCCTTGCTCCCCGCTTGGCGCTTTCCAGGTCCGTTGCGCGCCACTCGTTTGCGTTCTTTACACTCGCTCGCCTTGGCCTGTCCCCTACCTCGGGAGGACACCGCTTTTGTTCGAACGCAGTCTTCAAGAGCACGCACGCCTACTGTTCGAGCTGGCCCAACACAGCAATGCGTTGCTGTACCTGTCGTTGATCCAACGCCGTGGAGGAGGGAACGTATGCGTATGTGTGTGTGCGTGTGAGGGTGTGTGTCTTGTGCGCGCGTGTGTGCGTGCGTTCGTGCGTGCGTGTGTGTAGTGCGTCTTGCCTCCTCCACCATTTGTTACATGTCCTGCCTCAGGCGCCATCATCCGCATGTATGCCGCAACCCTCGAAGAGGCGATCGCAGGCTGAGTCTCATCGCACATAGTCCACGGCCCTTGCAAGGAACAAGGTGCCACCTTCGCAGCCTGTGCGCCCCCTCCAGAAGACTTCACCACAGAAGTACCTTTACAAGAGCGGTGAGGAGACCATGAATGGGTGGGAGGAGGGGGAGTCGACGGGGGGGGAGGATCGCATGGGCGATCAGGAAGCGCAGTCTGTCGTTCGCGATGCCACGGGCCATCGCCTGAGCCGCATTCGAAGGTGGCCATCCGCGACTCGCCGCGCCCGCCGTCCCGCTCGCATCAATCGGCTCGGCGGCCTCTTTGCGACCCCCTTGCGACCCCCCTCCCAGTTGCGATCCCCGTTTTGGGGCCCCGAGGGGAAGGAGGAAGTGGGTGGATGACAGGGAGGAAGGGAGGGAATGATCACGAGGAGGAGGAGGACGACCACGACGTCGTTCTCCTCTTCCTCCTCATCCTCCTGGCCGTTGTGGGAAGCGCAGGGTCTTTGCAGTCCATCCGATCTATCCTTGGTTCAGCGGGCACGCGCTGTGCTTACGTCCAACCAGAATGGAAGAAGAAGCAGCTGGCTAAACTTGAACTTTGGAGATTCGCCCGGATTTTCTGGATCGGCGCTCGACACCCCACACTTTTGCGCGAAGCGCACCAGGAGCGGTGCCGGAGGCGCTGCCAGGGGGGTCCAGCGCCGAACCAAGAACTCCACACGCGCCTCCGAAGATGTTTATGCCGTGTTTCCTCTTCTGTGGCGCGTTCCAGGCCGGGTTGGTGGCCATGTCCCCGCGAACCCTGGCAGCACACGCCCTCAATCGCTCTCTAGCGCGGCTCGCCCTGCGCAGCTCAGGCCCAGGAAGCGGCCAAGCGCCTGCCACACGGACCTCCGTCGTCGTGATTGCTTCACGGTGCGAGCCGTGCAGGGCTCTCGGCCCGATCCTCAGCGCAAGTCTCTCGCCGCGGGTCGCCTGCCGATTGTCCCGGGGTCCATCGCGGGCCATGGAGCGTCCAGGGGCCGGGCTCTGAGAGGGCGGCCGCCGTGATTGTCTCAGGACGCCGGAGATCTGGCCAGCTTCCGTCCTCGCCTGCGCTCGGCTGCCGCTTCTATCCCCGCGGTTCATCGACCATCCTGAGGGCCAGGTCCCCCAGGAACTCGACACAGGCAGTCCAGAGGCCAAGGCGCAACCCACAGAACAGGCCAAGAAACACAGCCGAGTTTGACTGACTATCCTGGGGCCTCTGGAGGGCCTGTTTGGTGGTTCACTGGGCCCCACCCCCTGGCTTTTTGTGGTTGGTGGCCGACCGACCACGGTGCGATCATTGCCTGCACGGTTCCCAGGCTTCCGACGGCTCCATCTTTTCGAGCCGCTGGCTCCCGGACCTCCCGACCCGTTCCCCGGTGCCAGCTTTTTGTCCTCAGTCGTTTCTCAAGTAAATTGGGGGCCCAGAGGCGGCCTGGGGATGCTGAAAACTGTGACCCCTGCGATGTGCTCGATTCGCCAGAAGCCTGGGCCTGTATCCACGCCAGTTCGCGCTCGCGCTTTCGGCCAGCAGCTGGTCCACTGCCGCCCCCGTGCCGGTCGCCCCAGCTGAAGGGCACAGCCGCCACGGGCGGCCAAGGAACCTCTGAGGCCAGCTGACGTCGCCAAGGAGCATCTGACCAGCACCACCTGTGGAACTCAATTGCTCGCCAGCAGGGCTGGATCCCGACCTCCACTCCCGGCTTCGGGATTTCAGAAGTACCCAGACCCATCCCCGTCGACAGCACCATGTTGAATCACCGCATGGCCTCCCAAGCAGCCCGTCGCAAATCATTTGATATGGGTGGGCCTGTCGGGATCCGAATGAGTAAGGGAACAACGCACATAACCCAGCGGGGGTCCATCGTTGGAGGTGGTCATTTCTCTTGGTTGCTACAATTCTGATTGTCTTGAATGTATTTTTACTCTGTTCAAGCTGGCCGTGCAGACTCGTTGTGTTTTGTCTCTGCATTTGCAGCGTGCCTTGTATAGCAAGAGCACGGCAATGTCGGCGGTATTTCACTTTGGTGCGCAGCATGGTTCTACCCTGGCGCACCCTGGCGTGTATTGACCGTAACCTCTAGCAGCTTATTTTTCATTTTGTCGATCCATTGCGGCTGAGGGTGACGCACAGTTGGGGTGCCAAAAGATATTCCACTGATGCCCACAAAGCGGTCTATCACGGACACCGTTCGATCTGGGTGATCGTTGTGGCCGTCGTTTCCACGACGGTGCTTTGGACCATCTCTGTGCATTGTATGTCTCCCGCCTTGTTCTATATACTCATCCTCGTCATCCGATTCGTTTGTTTCCCCTCTTCGGTGTCACTCTCCTGATAATCAGTTCAGACGCTTGACGTCACAGACCGTCTTGCCCTCGCTCCCCCCCCGCCTCCCCTCCCCCGCCTCCCCTCCATGGCCCTCGGCCTACTCGTCCCTCTTCCCATCCCCAACTTCCCTCTCGCCCTACCCCCCTCTTGCTCCCCATGCCTCCCGTCTCTCCCTCCTCTTCTAGCGTAGTCATCTCGGATCAGTGCATGTTCCGTTCTTGGGAGCGAGCGGCAACTTCGTAAACGCAGAGGGCCAGACGCGGATTCCGTGCAGTTGCTTTCGGGGCTGACTTCTACGAATGCATAGTTTGTGTCATTCTGCCGACGGATGCCTCCTTTTCTGCCTCCGTTCCAGCTGTGCTCGGTCCCCTTCCGACCTCGTGAAACTCGATTTCTTCCCAGCATCCAGGCAGGGGCCGACAGAGCGTTGAAGAAGAACTTCACACGCACGGCGCATTCACAGCATGCCCATGTTTTTGGTCCTGACAATGCCAGGCACAAACTGAACATTTTGATCCGACACAAGTCTCAGACGCCGAAAAAAGCCGCAGGCTCATCTGCCCGCTTGATCGACACAAGCAACATGGGCAGGAGCGTTCGGCATCGGAGTTTCGGGAGGCTGACACTATGAATCATGCCCGCCACGACGGGCCTCTTATGTTTCTGCTTGGATGCGAGGCTTCACCAGGGAGGACATTCACGCGCAGGGCGGACCTGCACGACTCAACGTACAAACATGTAGACATTCAGCGTCGATGGTTGGCACTGAGCCTGCCGATGACAAGGGCCAGGATGTTGCCACGAGTTGCGCCCAGAAGAAGCTCGATAATGACAGCGAGTTGCTCGTCGACGGCGCTGATTTGGCCACCGTGGGCAAAGCTAACTGGTTTCGTGCAGACAATCTTGGGCCAGATGCCCGATCCAACCCCACAAGACCCTTCAGCGACCTCCTCTGCGCCGGCCAGCGCGGCCATGACCAGACAGCCAGAGGCGTCGTATCACCGCCCTGCAGGAGAGGTTGCCGACCGCTGAGATCAGGCCACGTAAACCCGAATTTCGCTTAGGCGTGATTGAGGCAAGCATGAAATTGCCCGTCGTGAGCCTGGCTGACGTCTAGAAGGCGCAGCAGGACTCACCTCATTTGGACCTGCCCGACCCTCGCTCTGGCAGAAACGAGGCGACTCTGAAACTGAGGGGGGAAACCAGGATTCGCGGTCCTACTGAGTCTCGCGACCGCTCCAACATGACGACAGCGGCTCCCCTGACCGGCGACCGGTCCATGATGGACGCCGGAGAGGTGGACACGCGGACGGCGCCAGCATTACGACTGCCCGAGGACGACACGCCAAGGAATACATCACCCGCCGACGAGGGCGACCAGAGCTCTGAGCTCGGCTGCTGGGCGCAGGTCAAAGCGGAAACCCATAACGTCGACTCTTTGTGTTCTCTCCACAGCTTTCTGGAACGTATGTCTGCGACCGCATACGGCACCTGCCTCTTCTCAGTTACATTTTCGACCTCGCCCCTTCCAGGGCAGTTTTGGACCAAATCTTCGGCCAAGCCGACCACCTCGACTGACGGCCCCGCCGCTGCGAAACCACTTGGCCTGACACGTCTCTCTGGAGGGTCGTGCGTTCATCCTCTCCCTTCCTCTCCTTCTGCCTTCCGATCCCAATCCCCCATCCCCATTGCGATTGCCGCCCGGAACGCTCCGAACACTTTCCCGAAACCTCCAGCAAGCTGTTCAAAATTCCCGCATACCAGCGAAAGCCGCCGAAGACTTCCGAATGCTTGCGTGAACTTCCTCTCCTCCTTCCCTCCTCCTCCCCCCGAAATCCGCGGGCGCCCTTGGCGGCTTCCAGAGGGGGCTTCATGAGGTGGTTATCAGGGATCTTGATGCCCCCCTCCCTTCCTCCTCGAGTTCCTCCCTCCTACTCCTCTGTCTCCAGCGTTATAGTTGAACAAAGGGGCGCCATCCACAGAGATGCGCCACTCAGGATTTCAGCGATAAGGATTTTCGTTGTCAGGCTTCCGACCATATCACATACCTGCCGTTCAGAAATTAGAAACATGGAAGCCAGGCTAATTCACCTGTGTGGCTCTCTCCTGTTCGCCGTGCACAGTCAGGCTGGGGTCCTTGTCGATACGTGGTTCTGGCCGGAGCGCCGCACGCGTTACATCCGAAAGTTCAAGTTGCACATTCGTTCCATCGTGTTTTTGTCGCAATTGGTGCGTCGCCCGAGCGCCGCGCATACGCTTCAACCTTTGCCAGATTCAAGCAGCTATGGCAATTGAGGACGGGTTCTGTTCAAAGTGTAATTCTCGCTCAAGGTTGAGTTTCACCACCAGGAGTTTGAACATGAACAACAGAAGGAGGTGGCTCCTTCTGAAGACTAGGCTCTTCATTGCTAGATGTTTTAATCCCCCGGGATGTGTAGAATGACTTGCCAGTTTCATTCCAGGGGGCGGTTCCTTGCCATCACGGGGCTCTCGCCGGACATTCCCCCGCATGTATCTAGTGGTTTTGTCTGATACTTGGAGAGGTGGTGGGCGATTCCTTTCCAAAGCGGGTCTCTCACCGATATGGTAGTCTCATGGGGCTCTCGTCGCTCAAGGGGGGCGGTTTCGAAGTTAACGGAAATGCCTGTAGGTGCTGGTAAAAAAAGAGGATTTGGAACGTGCGGGTGTGCTGCCGCATCGTTGACGCACCCAGGGTCCACAAGGTCCTCTTCCCTTCCGCCTCTTTCCCCTCTTCCTCCCCTTCTTCATTCGCCCTTCTCCTCCCTCTCCTCGCGGACCTCCTACCCTGAACTTCTTCTCACCCTAAATATCTCGTCCCCCTGCCCCATCCATGCTCCCTCCTGTTCCTCCTCGTCCTCCTCCCGACCTCCCGACCAGGGCGTGCCACCTCAGGAAAGACGACCCCCAGCCCATGGACTACCACAAGCAGAACTCCGCCATCGCCGCCGCGCGCCGAGCTTTCGGCCTTCCCGTTGGCCTGACGGGGGATCTGGCGCGCCGCGGCGCGGCTGAAGAGACCGTCGCCCTCTCAGGTGACGCTCGCTCCTCCCGACCTCCCAGCGTTTGCCAGCAGAGGGTCCGTCGCCCGCTCCGGCCCCGTGGCGCACCGCGCCACCACCTCGCGGCCAGGCGCGCTCTGAGGGCGGCGTGCCGCCCCACCCCGGCCGCGCCACCGCGCGGGGCGGAGGCGGCAAATGCTCGAAAATTGGAGCCTCTACATTACCAGTGTCGGGCGGTTTTTCCATCCCGAGACTTTCGCGAGGGTCGGAGACGGCGCGGGGGCGGCGCGGTGCATTTTTGCCCCCCCCCCCTTCCCCCCCCCCCCCCCCTTTCCTCAGCGAGCGGAGAAGAATGTATACATCAGGATCCCGCATGCGCCGGGAGCCGCTTCCTCGCGAGATTCAGCGCCAGGCCGGACAACAGGCGTCGGCGCATAAAGTTCGGCCCCCAACCAGCTCTTCCTCCTCCACAACCTCGTGCTTCAAAAACGGCTTCTCCCCCCCAATCCCTGAGCCCCCTGCCCCCCGCTGGCCGCTCAGGAAGGAAAGGAGCGCACGGGCGCGCCCCGGGGGGTCATTCGAAAGCGCCACTATCCAGGATGGGCGCCCCCCGTCGCCCCCACCGTTTCAATCGAAATAGTCGGGGCCCGGGGTCGCCGCGCCCCCCGCTGGCGCTCGCAATTTGGCCTCTAGGCCCCCCCCCCCCCATCGCGCGACTCAGCTCGACGTGTTCTGTTTGTTTCTCGTGAGAGAGAGAGAGAGAGAGAGAGAGAGAGAGAGAGAGAGAGAGAGAGAGAGCGGACAAGTAGGCGGACCAGGGTCCGTCCGCGAGGCGCACTGCAGTGCGACAACTCGCTAAACACTATTTGCGGCGGTGCAGCCTTTAGATACGAGGGCGGGCAACAAAAAAACCCTCCCCCGGCGCAGTGCGACAGACGCTACAGACGGCGGACAGACGGTGATGATCTCACCTGTCAGACCGCGTGAAGAAAGAGGCCCCAACAAGAAAGGCGACGTGCTGACACGTGGCTAGGCGGCTTGGCAGACCGCCAGTTGGGCGCTTGGCCGCAAAGCGGCGCGCAGTGACGGGGCACCCCCCGCCCCCACGCCCTGACACCGTGGACGCGGAGCCACGCGTACTCACGGGCAGGCAGAAAGGAGGAGATTAGCGCGGGGCACCAGGTGGAGCGCCGCGGAACGATGACAGCATAGCTTGGATGGTGAGTGACGGCACGGCACCATCGGGCGAGGGCGTAAGCAGCTCGGCGAAGGCTCGCCCGGCGCTGTGGAGGCGCTGGAGTAGAGGGCCTTGGCGAGCTTGGGCGGCGGCGAGGTCCGCGGCGAGAGCAACACACCTCTGCTGGAGAGCGGCCATAGCCTGGGACAGCTCGGTTTCCGCGGTCGGTGAGGGGTGGCTGCTCAGTGCCAGCGGCCGCGGGCCTCGTGACAGGGGCGAGGTCCTCGGTACGCCTGACCAGGTGGTGGACTAGCGTAGTACGGCACCCTGTATGCTGTCGTCCGTCACCCTCGAAAGGTGACTGGAGGGGGGCACGCGGCCCCAGGGCTGGAGCCGCTAGGGCCACGCCCCGAGAGGTCGGGAGAGCCGCATCCTCTCGCTCAGCAACGATGGAAACGTGGACGGGGTGCGAGGGCCTGCCTGGTTCGGTGCCCTGCGGGGGGGCTGAAGCCGCCCCCGCGGGCTGCCGCTGGTGGGGGGGCGGAGTGGTTTGCGCGGTGGGACCAATCATGATGCCGTGCGAGGGCTCTGAGGTCAGCCGCGTAGTAGGGTGGCGTCTCGATA